TAGAACTGAGGAATTCACTCACTTGATTCTGGTTTGGTCATTAAATTGCCTAATCATGAAAACCCAATTTTTCTTGGTGCTGATCAGGAGCAAAGTGAAGTGCGTTTTTGTGCAGTGAGATGGGCAACATCTTTGTTTGGTTCTCAACATTGTCCTAGCCGATTTATTTGTATGCTTGGAGCTGCAGATGCTAGATTGGATATAAGGTAGCAGAAGTTTCTTTTCTGTTTAATATAATAGAATAAACGACAATTTTCATTTTACTTCCTTGTGATGTGGGTGGAATGTAAAAGACTTTGCCTTGTTTCCAAACTGGTTTATGGATGTCTTCTTCCTTCTTATTGTTATTTCTTGTGGGTAATGGGTAACTATTTGGACATGGATAGTATGCAAGAGCTTGTTTGGCCTGTTTCCTAGTTGAAATCTTTTCCTTTGCTAATACCTCAAAAGTTCTCTAAATATATGACTAGAAAGCAAACATGTCCATTTAAACTGCTTTGTATTACAGAAGTGGGAAACATGATGTAAAGAATTTGAGAAAGGGTTAACCTTATGACCCTGAGAGGGTGTAAATTTGTTTTGTTATTTGGCTTGATCATATAGGGTTATTGAGAGAGAACCTTCAGGTGTTTAATCCTTCTTGTTACTGTATATTTATTTGGCATCTATTTCCAAGTTTGAACTTCAGAATATCTTCATCATTTTGAATTTGGCTTTTTAGTTCTTTAAGTTATTAAACTTGGTTTTGACTGTTTCCTTTAAGGGAAATGGCACTTGAAGGGCTTTATCTTGGTAAGGGTGAAGGGCAAATAATCAGTCAAAATCTTGATTGCAAATATCCTTTGCTTGGAGGCATTCTAGAATACATTCTTACGCAGCAGCCGAGGTTGTTAGAATCATCTGAAAGGAGAGAACAGAAGCTTCTTTTTCCATCAGAAATGTATGTGGCCATGATTAAATTTTTGTTGAATTGCTTTGTGTCGGAGTTGGCACAAAACAAATTCTTAGGAAGATCATCTGACTTTCTTTCCTCAGTGGAAAGAATGTGCCTGCTACTAGAGCATGCTATGGCATTAGAAGGATCCTTTGAGTTGCATTCGACTGTTTCAAAGGCACTGGTTACACTTGGATCTCATCTTCCAGAGGTTTGTGCTACAGCCCACAGGTTTCTTGTGTTTGGTTGTTACTTTCTTGTTGCTGGATGTGTACTCTTTGCTGAGATATAATTTTTATTTATTTATTTGAAGATGATAGCATCACACTTTGCTTTGAGAGTTCCATGGTTAAAGCAATTACTGAATCATATGGATTTGGATACGCGTGAATCTGCGGCACGTTTACTTGGCATTGCTTCCTCTGCCCTTCCCAATCCAGCATCATGTGATCTTATATGTGAGCTTGTTTCCTCAATCAGGGGAGCAAACAAATTGAGGTTAGTAGCTATAGCTTGTTAGGACTAATGTCTTTATAATGTTATGTTCCTGTGCAGTTTTAAGGAAAAATGATTTCTTATTCTGGACCTGAACTGAGCACATTCTTCAGGTTTGAGGCACAGCATGGAGCATTATCTGCCATAGGATACGTCACTGCAGATTCTGTATATAGAACACCATCTGTAAGTAGTACAACTTTCCTTGTGGATATTTTTAAAAGCACTTTGGCATTTGTTTCCTAATAGGGGATGCAAAATTGCAAATTATTTGAGTTTTCTGCTTCACTGCTTCATGATGACAGCAGAGAAGGCACAATCTTGCCTTATCTTTGTTTCCACTCATATCTAGGGTTTGTTGATTTTCTTCCATTATTATTATTTTTTTGGTCGAAATGCAGTTTTTTCAATCTAATTATTTTGCAAGTTCAGTAAAATTTATGTAAATCTGGTCTTTTTCATGAACAGATCCCGGAGGAGCTGTTTCAAAATACACTTAAATGCCTTATTGATGTTGTTAGTTCTGAGTCTGGAACTTTGGCCTCCATTGCAATGCAAGCACTGGGTCATATTGGTTTATGTGCCCCTTTATCTTCAGTGGTCGTTGATTCTGGTTCAGGTGGAGTCATAGCACACTGATGTTACACATATCTATTTTTGCATGAAGGACCCAAGAATCATATTAACTGGTTGATGAAATTGCAGTTCACATTCTAGAAGTATTACAAGAAAAGTTGAGCAAGCTACTCTCTGGTGATGACATTAAAGCAATCCAAAAAATTGTTATCTCCCTCGGACATGTCTGTGTGAAAGAAACATCTTCTCCACACTTGCATATTGCCCTAATTTTGATTTTTAGTCTTTGCCGGTCAAAGGTTGGTACACGTGTATATGAATTAGCACAAAATTGAATGATCAATAATGGTGCTTTATTTGGTTTAAACGTGCATGCAATATGGAAAACCTTTCATGCCCAAAAATCTTTTTATTTCTACAGGCTGAGGAAATTTTGTTTGCTGCTGGAGAGGCCCTATCATTTCTATGGGGTGGTGTTCCTGTAACTGCTCATGAGATTCTTAAGACTAACTATACTTCACTTTCCATGAGTTCGAACTTTCTTACAGGCGACATGAATTTGTCATTGTCAAATTTTAGCCCTATTGAGAATAGTGGAGACTCTGAAGATGCCCATATTGTGGTTAGAGATACGATCACAAAAAAGCTTTTTAATGATCTTTTGTACAGTAACAGAAAAGAAGAGTGTTGTGCTGGAACAGTCTGGCTTGTATCACTTACAATGTATTGTGGTCATCACTCTGCCATCCAAAAAATGCTTCCAGAAATTCAGGTTATCCACTACATTTTTCTTTCCATGAAGATGAGATCCTACAAAGAAGCAATATGATTTGTGGAATGTTAAACTCGGTTTTTTCAAAAGTTTGACTTCCTTTTTCTCCATACATCACATCAGATATAACAGTGCTGAGATTCAATTTTGATGATTTTATCTTTTTTCTTAGCATATTGTAGATAAGTTACTTTACAGAAATCCAAGCCAGCAAACCCTACTGAATAAAAACGCTACATAATCATTCGTTTAAGCAGATATATAAAGAAATAAAGATGGTTTGCTCTCAGTAATTGTACATGCAAGAGATTTTAATCTGCTTTTAAGGAGTGCTTATGAACAAGTTTTAAACAAGCAAATGACAGCCCCCAAATTATAAAAAGGATTATGCTTCCTCTGTACTAGATTACCCACATTCAATTTTTTATTTAAAGGTGGTATTGAACCAAAGAAAAGCTACTAAGTGTAAGTTTTTCTGACATTGAGTTGCATCATATAATCATGATTAAATTGTATTTCTCCATGGCTAATATATATTTAAAAAAAAAAAAAAACTAGAAAAGGTGCACTTGTTTCTGTTTTGATGCGGCTCTTTTTCCACTATAATTTAGTTTAACTTCTTTTATTTTTATTTTTATTTTTTTGCTTTCTAGTACTTTTCTCTATTACAAATTACTTTAACTGCTTTTGTTAATCAACCAAGATTTTTTTTTTTGTTAAGATTTTGGAATGATTGGTATGGACATTATTGAAATCTGATACCAACTCTATGGACATTATTGTTAAGATTTCCTTTTTGCATCTTTTATTTGAATGCAGGAAGCCTTTTCACACCTACTTGGTGAACAGAATGAACTTACTCAGGAGCTTGCATCCCAAGGAATGAGTATTGTTTATGAACTTGGTGATGAGTCAATGAAGAAAAACCTTGTAGATTCACTTGTTGGTACTTTGACTGGTTCAGGGAAGAGGAAAAGAGCTATCAAGGTAAAAACGTAAAAGGATATCCTGATGTAGAGTGGAAGTTCTAGTGGAATTTTTTAGAGATAGATTGAAAATTTTGAGTAAGGATATCAAAGTCATTGGAAAAGGTAGCAGTTTGTAGGAAGCTAATGAGTTATTATGAAATGATCAAGCAGGAGAGGGAAGAAAAAGAGGGATAGAAATGGAGTTAACAAGACCTAGGTTAAGGTTGATGGATTGGACCATAAACTATGTATGGGAATTCTCTCATTCCTAATGAGGCATATGCAAACTGTTGTGTTCTACCACCTTTAGGATGGACTTTAATTTGGAAACTGAAAAACTTAGATCATTCAAATGAAGATTTGTTAACTGAAAAATAGGACAGACGAGTCAATAAGCAATAACCTAAGCTTACTAGTATGAAGATTTGCTAATCTAGCTGTATGGCTAAAAATGTTAACATTTACAATAAAACTATCCCTGCAGCATAATATCATTCATAAACATTTTCTAGATATCAAGCCATTGTCAAGAAATAGACTACACAAGGTATTGGATAATTGATAAGCACT